CGCTTCATTAGGGGTTGCAGTAGTTACGTACATGGGAAAGGGTTATTGAGCTTTACGGGGGTACCGTCAAATTGAAGGTGTGAAACAAATTGACCCGAATGCATTCCAAATTTCCTCTCTTTCACTTGGCCAACAGGGAGATTATGTCGAGTAGGCGGAGCAGTATGAGTGGTGTTACCAATATCTATTAACGGTGTTGAATATATAAGTTGGGATGATGTTGAATTAGGAATCATTGGTGTGGATGTTGAACCTTTAACACCCTATTTCTCCATCGATAATTTTAAATAAAAATCAGATTAAATTAATTTCTAAAATAACATCAACAAATAGGATGTCACATCGTCATACATCATACATGCTCAATAAACAAGATACATAACACAAAATCACTAACTTCAAGTCTTAAACTTCATTACATTTATTCGCAGTGGAAAACATTGATAAATAATTATTCTCAACCCTCAACATGAGTGGTATTTTTCATCATCTAAAAATCAGCATAATCATAAGGTAAATTCAAAACAACGGAGTTATATAAAGTTTACTCCCAACATAATAAGACAAACGCAAAACTCCCAAGTGTTATGTATCAGAGCAGATACCGACTCAATCTACGTAACTGAGGTAACTCTTCAGCTAACCTCGACCTCGAGCTACTTCGAATCATCTGCATATAGAGGCAACATTCAAACAGAAAAGGTGAGATATCATAACAATATAAGAGGAAGCATAATAATGAGCAGGTAGAAATTTAAGTACACATCATTATACAACTTTAATTCACACCTTTTCTTGTTCATCATACTACGAAACACATCAACATAATTAAGTGCCTAAATAACAGAAAACATCCATCATAACGAAAGTAGAAATTCATTCAACATTCAAATAATCAATTACTAACAATCATGCTATGCAGCGAAACTGACACTAACTCAATGTATATGGTACCAATAGAGAAAAACCCTCAACTTAATAAATGCCACCTTAGAGCAACAATGCCAATACAGGCCATCTTTCGCTAATACAGGTCATCTTTCACCAATACAGGCCATCTTTAATGAGTGCATGTGACACTGACATGCAACAACATAATTTCACATTGATTATTCTTATCTATCAATGTCAAGCCAATACAGGCCATCGTCATCATTATCATTATCATGTATATCATGTCACACAATCAAAATGCAACAACATACTTTCACATTGATTATTCTTACCTATCAATTCCATGCCAATACACGTCATCATCATCATCATCATCATGCAATACATTATGCAAACAATCAAATCGTTCATACAACATCATCTTACTTAATCGCAACATAAATCATCGCACATTACTCGAAAATATACATAGATAGGAACCAATTTTAGTAAAATAATTAGCTACTATATTACAATTTATTTTTATAGGATAGAAAATGATTTTAACTTTCTAACGGTCCAAACGGTGCGTCAAACGGACACCCGAGGCGAAAGTTATGAAATTTACAATTTTACAAAATTTTGTCTAACACAGTGGTAACTAGTTACTCAATACCAGTAATCGGTTACTGCACAATTCAATAGCTCTATTTTTCAAAATTTTCCTGTGGCAACCGGTTACTGCATTACG